TGGCCTGCCGCGACCTGACCGAGCGGGCGACGGCCTCACAACCACGGCCCAGCGGGAGATGGTGCGCGACCTCCAGGAGAAGCTCCGCCATGTCGCCCTGGACTTCGAGCAGGAGATGGCCACCGCCGCCTCCCCGTCCCTGCACAAGAGCACAAGAGCTACGAGCTGCCCTGCAGCCAGGTCCTCGCCGTGGGCATCGAGCGCTTCCGCGGCCCTGAAGCGCGCTTCTAGCCCTCTGTCCCGCGGCATCCACGAGACCACCTTCAACGCCATCGTGAAGTGTGACGTGGACATCCGGAAGGACCTGCACGCCAACACGGTGCTGTCGGCGGGACCACCATGCACCCTGACATCGCAGACCGCACGCAGAAGGAGATCACAGCGCTGGCGCCCAGCACCAGGAAGATCAACATCACTGCACCCCCTGAACGCAAGTGCTCCGACTGGAACAGTAGCTCCATGCTGGCCTCGCTGTCCACCTTCCAGCAAACGTGGATCAGCAAGCAGGCGTACGATGAGTGGGACCCCTCCATCGCCCACCGCAAGGCTTCTAGACAGAATGCCCGCAGGTGTTGCCACCTGCCGCCTGGGCTGGACGACAGCGCAGGTCGGCCCCTGGTGCTGGCCTCGTGAAAGTGGAAGAAGCCTTTGAAAGAATTGTCCTTGAAGCCCTCTGGCAGCAGCACCGATCCTCGGACTTGTTGCTGATCTCGACCTTGTATTCATGTTAATGGTCCCCCTGATCTGTGTTCAATGCCCGGTACATCCTTTGATTTCAACCCTAGCACTGGCAACCGGGGTGGAGGAGGCCTGGACAGTGTGTGCAGGGTGCTCACGGGAAGAGCTGTGGGCTCCAGGATCGCCTGGAGGCCAGCAGGGGACCGGAAGCAGCCAGTCCTTGCTGTGTGCGGCCTGTGGGGTGGAAGAATTTGAGCCTTGGGACCAAGTGCCCTTTCTTTGGCTGATGTTGGCCGCTGGAGCCCTGGGGGCTGTTACTTGACTTGAGTTGGAAGACGGTTTGCATTTAAACCTGTAAATTTACTCATTCTTTTAATTTATATAAGGGGTTTTTTTTGGTAAGCAATTCTCAACTCTTTGAGATGACAACAAAT